CCCCCGCCATGTGTGAAAATTCCTTTTTTTTTTTTTTTTTGGAGTGGGTGGGGAAATCCCCCTAACACAGCTTAGATAGCCCATGCAGGCTATCTGAAGGGTCCGCGCAGACATGTAGCGCAGACCCCCCCACCAAAATCGAGGCAGGCAGTGAATCTGAAATAGAGAACATGAGCTGGCCCAATATATACTCAAGATTCGAATTCAGGTGTGCGTCTGAAGTGCTTTGGCAGTTATGGGTTGTTCACGTAGCTAGGGCCTATTGGTCACTGCACGTGACTCTTAGGGTTTGGCTGCACTACTCAGTGTGTGCTAAGTTAGAATGAATCTTCTGCAAAACGTGGAATAATACGCCATTGTTTTATTTTATTTTATTTTATTTTTTCTCATTTTTCAGTTTTCTTGGTGTTATTTTTTTCTCGTTTTTCTTTTCATAGGAATAAGTGCAGTGGCCCTAAGGGCCTTTACTAAGTTAGAATGAATCTTCTGCAGAACGTGGAATAATATGTCACCATATGTTTTGTCTTTTCTTGTTTTTCATTTTTCTCATTTTTCATTTTTCTTTTTGTTCTTTTTTTCTCGTTTTTCTTTTCTTAGGAATACGTGCAATGGCCCTAAGGGCCCTTACTCACCAAATGCACAATTCCACGTTCTGCAGAAGATACATTCTAACTTAGCACATTTCGTGAGTAGTGCAGCCAAGCCCTAAGACTCACGTGCAGTGACCAACAGGCCCTAGTTACGTGAGCAACCCATAACTGCTGAAACACAGACCTGAAATCAAATCTTGAGTATATATCGGGCCAGCTCGTGCTCTATTTCATATTCACTGCCTGCCTCGATTTTGGTGGGGGGGTCTGCGCTACATGTTTGCGCGGACCCTTCAGATAGCCTGCATGGGCTATTTGAGCTGTGTTAGGGGGACTCCCCCACCCCTCGAAAAAAAAAAGGACGTTACACACGCACGCACACACACACGTACACACACACACACACACACACAAATTCACATACACACACTGTTCTGTTTTTTTTTTCTTTTTCTTTTTCCTGCTTCGCCTTGGGCCCTGGCCCACAACCACCCCCAAGCACTGCCGCCGCTCCCCACGCTGCCCAAAGCCCCCCCAAGCACCGCTGCTGCTCCCCACACTGCCCAAAGCACCACCCCATCCCGCCCACCCCCCTGTGCAAACACGTCAATCGCATTCAGGTGCGTTCAGTGAACGCGCGTTCACTGCGTTCATAAACTGAACGCAGAATGCGCGGTAACATAGTACGGCCTGTGGGGTCAGGCCTCGGTCTGGTCCCACAGGCCAAACTGGTAAATAGCCGAAATTTCCCTGGCTGTAGGCTAGGGCAGATGGAGGCCTGATGCACGATCCTCTGACCTGTAATGGATCGCAATAGCCATAAACACGCTATCCGCAAAAGTAACGGAACTCTGCAATTATGCAATAAAGAAAGCTGAGAAATCTAGGATGCGGAGGAAGCTCCATGCGGGGTCCATGCGATGTAGCCTAAGCTACATAATATCAAATGAAAAACAAATGTCTGGTATACACAACCTAACTAACATCAGAAAATGAAATGTAGCATGATACAATCCTAAAGTCGTGGAGGCAATGACCTCAGTGTTGAAAGAGAAAAGAAAAACAATATGTCACAAGATAATGTTAATAATGTTATGTCGTTGAATCACTAAGAGTGAGATGGTCTCAGAGGGGGTGAATGCAACCTAAGAATCGAAACTCCTAAGGGCAGTCAGATATGAAGGTGGGATAGGTCATCAGGCTCAAGGTGAGAGAGTGGTAGCGAAACAAAACCAATTATCCTAACAGATAGACCATCAGGGCGGGTAATGCTCGACAAAGGGTGACACCATGCAGGGTCGACCATGAAAAAAAGGAGTCTGGAATAGGGTGGAGATATGCCTAACTGAAGGCATGCAAGAGTCGGCACTAGGGTGATAAGGGCAGTGGGTGAGGGAAACATGCACACAACTCATCGACAGAGGGAGGAGGGAGTTAGATCTGGGAGCTGGGAAGCCAAGATAACGCTACGGTCCCAATGCCTTTGCGATACGAAGGGAGAGCCCAACTCAAAGAGACCCAGCTAAGTGAGAACCATCATGCGATAGATGTAAGGGAATGTACAAGGTAGGGTGGTGACGTGGAGTAGTCACGTCCAAAGTAGCCGAAGCCGATAAGATGGTTGAAATCGAGAAGGTGACTGAAGTCGTAGAAGTGGTCGATGACGTAGATGAAGTAGGAGTCAAGTCGATGTCGAAGCAGAACCGCAAAATGTTGACATCCTGAAGAAGTTGATGATGGAGTATTTGATGGTGTGAGTCAGTAGGGAGATAGTACGTGATCAGAGTGTCAATCATCGAGACGCCGAGGGAGTCGACAAGTGCGTTGTGGACGCGCGGAGGTGTCCGTCTGCTGCTGAAGAATGACCTCAGAGGGAGTGGGCTAGTCCTCAGCAGTCTCCTCAACCGGAGGAGGAGGAAGAGGGTCAGGCGGCTGAGTAGGAGCAGATGTCTCAGCACGACGAGCACGTTGATATACACGTATCAACATCCGGGCGTGCTCCAAGTGCTCGAGGAGCTCCCAAGTAGCCTCCTCATCAGAATAGCCCTTCCAACACACTAGGTAATAATCCTTGATGTGTGGAAGGGTATCGTCGGTAACTCGGCGAGATACGATGCTGGAAACAACGAACTCCTCGTGACCATCCACCAGGATAGGTGGAGGGCACTCATAAGGACGTCTGACGAAGCGCTCGGACGGTCTGCGATAAGGACGCARCAAGGAGACGTGGTAAACATCGTGTACGTGAGTCTGTCGAAGGTAATCAAGTAGCTTCACACGGAAGCTGACCGGACTAGCGACAATATCAGAACCGACGACCTGAAGGATGCGGCATTGACCGAAGAAACAACACTTAATCTTGCGAAGCGTATCTGCTTCGAGCTGTAAATGGCGTGCGTCGACGAGCACATCGTCACCGACTTTGAATGAATGATTCATTCGTAATTGGTTTGCTTGTACGACCATGCGAATCTGGGAGTCGGGTCAACTCTTGTGTGCGCGCTTCATAATCGCCGCCATGTGGGCGATGCAGTCATCAAGCGCAGGACAACGACTGTCTGGGCGCAACCGCGATGGTCGTAGGAAATCCAAGGGTACGGGAGGGTGGTAGCCGAGGTCGCAATAGAACGGCGACATCCCCGTGGCTGGCGAAGCAGCGTGGTT